CAGCGACGCCCTTTGAATTTTTTAGGGACAACCAAGAGCTTTTTCCATTAAAATTTTCTGCGAAGCAAGTTGAACGCTAATGAACCTTAGAAAATTACTTTATGAATAAATAACCCTCATAAACCTCAGATATCTTTAAAACTATTTTATGTTCTAAGTGAATAAGTAAATTGCATAGTCTTACCCTTTGCTTCAACCAGATTGGCTGCTGGAAGGCGGGGCTTCATGACGTAGGATGCGACTGCTCGTGTGCGCGACGCAGTCTGCGTCTCCCTCGCGAATATGCTCTCTGATCATTCTCTAGCCTTAATTAGGTCACGGAGCCCCGCCTTCCAGCCGCCGATCTGGTTGAATCAAAGGGTATGTTATTTCTTTTCTAAAAGATTGATTGCGCAAGTCAGATAAGACAAAAGAAACGATTAGAAATTTGGCTGTAGGCTCACCCAAAAAATTTGCGACATTTCTTGAAAATGATACGTTTCCACCTTCTCCTTTTTTTCTCAAGAACTATTATCAGTGTTGTTTTCAAGACTGCAGCGGAAAAGAGGGTTTCTGCCATACAATACAATGATAAACAGCTGTTCAAACTCAGATCAAAATTCATATAGAAACGAGAAATTTTCAATCGTTTCTTTTGTCTTATCTGACTTGCGCAATCAATCTTTTACAAAAGAAATCATAAGAAGTCATTACGTTTGCAGACTATTAGCACATGAATCAGAGTTCTCTAAAGGGTTATTTTTCGGTGGACAATAAAAAGTTTATGTTAATTGCCAAATGCTGCCGAAAAGCAAAAAAAGAGAGAGATGACAAAGCGTTCAGTGAGATGAAAGTGCATGTGTTGTACTGAAGTGCATACAAGAGTGGTGTGCATCGCGTTGAACAGTCTCTACTTGGACACAAAATGCGGTGCGAGGGGTCGTGACGTAACATACAGTTACACCCATTTGCTTTATTTTGTTCAGTTGCTGACAAGGAAGCCTAAAGGCCACTTCGACTAAAAATAGTCGAAGTGGCCTTTCCAAATAAGTCCTATATCACCTTGAAGGGGATTGAATGTTGATTCCAAATCCGCTTTCTTTTTCTGCGGAACAACTCTCTGGAAGAAGTTATGAGCGTCTGAAAGTCCAAATTTGTTAATCTAAGTGGCATAGAATTACCGAAAATTTGTAAGAGACTTTCTTGTCGTTAGTACACCTTTACAAAAACAATTAGACTTTCAGGTGTTTTTCACCATTTTCGCTAATTTTATGCACATACAGTTTAACCCACTGACGATGACGCCTAATTTTGCGTGGCGGCGCTGTGGTACGACGTGATTTTGCACTACACTTTCGGTGTGGGAAAGTTTTGTGGTTGTTTACGAAATGCAAGGTTATTCTGCGAACAAGTGTAAACCATATTCTCAACGACGGAGCCTACAGATCCCAAGAGTGCAAAAAATAAAAAATATCGTTATGTGGAAAAATAGCGGTGGTCTATATCGTCCCTGGCAGCAAAAAGTGCGTGGGCCATCGGTGGTCCACATCGTCATCAATGGGTTAAAGAACTTGGACTTTCGAGCGCTCATAACTCCTTTCAAAGAGTTGTAACACAGAAAAGGGAAGCAGATTTGGAATAAGCTTTCAAAGCTCTTCAAAGTGATGTGTGAGTTCTTCGGAAAGGCCACTTCGACTAGGGGGGCTTCCCTTGTGAGAAAAGTACAATATCTGATGACATCACCTACTAATGGCAGTGGGTCATCAAAAATAAACAAAAAAAGGTTTGGGAAAAGGATGTTTTGCATTATCCGGATCACTTTTATCTATCAATCTCTCAATGTTTGATCGGGTGCTGTTTTACCATTGTAGACGAGAGCAGGATCAGACGTTGGGCGCTTGTTTATTACGGTAAAATCGTCCGAAATAATTGTGGTATTCGTAATCACTGTGCGAAATAACCTCTCCAAACGAGTTTGCAGCGAAATTCGAAGTTTTAATTTTTTGGGTCAACTAATGTGGAAAAAGCCAAATCTTGGAAGGGCTATATACCAAGCTTCGTCTGAATGCGGCCATCCCATAAAAAGAAATGGCCTTAACCGTGATTACTGATCAGTAACACTCCTCACCATTTTTTGTAGTGTACCCGAATATGGCCTTTAGGACGCGTTCAAAGTTCAAGGCGAACGTTCTCCTCTCTAATAAAGAAAAAAAGGACACACTGCACTTCGATGGCAAGGGCAAAATTACGAGAACGCTTGAAAATGAGAGGGGAGCATTTCCCAGAGGTACCGGCAACGGTAGCTGCTTCTGAGATTTCACGTCTAGCATGTGGAGGCGGTAATTGACTGAATCTAAGGTTTCATTCTTCGTACATAGTCTCATGGGGGTCAGAAAAATTTTTTTGAAGGTGTGGGCAACGAGAAACTTTCGAAGTAAGGGACCTTCAAGAGTAATCGCGATGCTTCACAAAATGTTCGCGGGCCCATAACCTCACACGCCTTCGAAAAAATTTTTACGAAGCTAATTTGAACTCCCAAAAAGTTCAAAAAAACTATTACATTTGTTTTTATGAGAAAACAAGTCCCTTACACAATTTTATAATTCGTAACTCGCATAAGCCACTTTCAAAAATTTCGCGACCCATTTTGGGCGAGGAAGGGGGGAGGCTCCTCCATGCTTCATGTGGTCCCAAGCAAAAAGGAGCTGGTCCCTTTTCGAAGCAATTTTTCCGTCCCGAATCTACACGTAAAATCCTTTCTGATCGGTAGTGACCGCAAATCTGGAAGATTTCGTCGATTCACATATCCTGGGAGTGAAAAACAAAGACAGTTTGAAACGGGAATTTCTCCTCTAAATTTGGGGGAACGATTTCCGTATAGGGAGCTTTCTGCACCTGATTGTACACAATATACAAACCATGTGAGGAAACTTATTGTATCCGAAAATACGTTGAAGTTGGGTGAAACGATCGAGCAGCATTCAGGGATTTTCCGCATTTCGCGTGCCCGCAACTTCTCACTCGCAATCTCATTTATCCTCGAATCCCGTTCGTGTTGTTCACATGATCGTCGCGTTCCATTCACTCTTGCGTAGCCGTTTTGTCGACGCAGATAGAAAGCACTCGACGATCTGTGTTGTACTTGGACATCGCAAAATGTTCGGTTATCGATCTCACGACCGTGGGATGGGTGGTTGCGGCAGCAGCGTTGCACGGGCAGGGAATGCGAGTGCGGTCAGCAGGGCACGCCGCTGAAGCTCTCGCGCGCGGCGTCGCACCTAGTTCCAGGATCGATAGTGCCATCTGGCAGGGGTGTGGAAGGGTGCGAGCGCTGTTCTAGGGCCGACACGATTGCCTACAGCGTGAATCGCAGCTGCTTTGCCACGAAATAGTGGCAGAGCGCGATTCAACGCCAAGTGACGTCGCTGCGATCGCTCGAGCGAAGGCGGCGATGATGCGACGCGCGATGGCGACGCAGCCCGACGCCGATGACCCCGGCCGGCACCGCCTGGTATGCGGATGGTCATTCGCTGAGCGGCCGCCGTTGACTGCTCACGCCCTTCCAGCGCGCATACATACACACATACACACACAACATCGCATAACGTCTAATTAGCCTTCTCCAGCTAGCCGACACCGACCGATCAATAACGACGCCAACGCTAGCGCACTCTCGTCCGCACGATATCGATCGATACTTGCGTCCTGCTACGACCCCCTGAGCGCTTTGCGTACGCGCAAGTATTTGTTGCCATGTCGCAGTTTTGCGCTAATATCTCTCCACCCCGTCGATCTCCCTGTGTTCAATGCATGTCTTCCGCCCGATATGTGTGTGTTGTGCGAGTGTGCGTTGTCGATTCAGTTGCGTTTGCACTATGCGGACACATTGATTGCACTTCTGCAGCTGCAGCAGAACTGCAGCAGAAGCAAGCGAAACAACTGCGACAACCACGTCGTTCTGTGTTTTTCTCCCTCGAGTGATTCATCCTTTTTCTCGTCTTTGAACCGTACGTGATTTTGGTGTCGTATGATCGATGAAGCGTACGTGGGTTCCCACTGAACTTTCGATATTTGATATTTGAGCATGCAATTAGCGTTTTCGTTTCTGGACTCATTCCATTGTCCAACTTCCTTACCTTCGCGCATGCATTATTCTTTTTCCACAAATTCGCCTTGTTTGTGTTCGAGCATTGTGTGACCAAAGATCAGAGATGCTATTTTCTGGGAAGTACTTTCAATTCCTCAGTATGGCAATATCCTCGGTTTTCTTTCTCTCTATATTAATCCCATGTACTCCACCCTTACATTTTCTGATACTTCTTTCATGATATTCATTGAACCCCGAATTGAATGAACTCAAATCAGTCACATTGTACTACATTATCACGTCCCACACTTATCTTCAGTGTGCTTTATTGACCTTTCCTCCTACGTTTCTGCGTTATCGCGAGTCTGAAGTCCAGACAAGCATACCGTCAATTTTCGTTACAACATTTCATACGAGTCACATGTGACCGACTCGTCAGCCTCGAACTATACTCCATCATCGTGAATTCATTTTCATGCTTTTATGGGCTTTTTTCCATAGCCAGGTATTATGATAACATCAGGAAATCGTTGATTTCTCCACAAAAATTTCGAATTGCAACATTGGCCGATGTGACATTGAGAGGTAATCGATTTGTTTTTTTGCATTCACTATCCTCGCCCTTTCACATAGTTCCAGATCGTATCTTTTTCTTCGATCCCTTGTTGTAAGCTAATTCCATATGTTTTCATGCAGTCTCCCTTGTTTTTTCATAAGCAATCATCCATGCTAGTTTATGTCAAGTCTGGGTTCATCTCTGACCTATTATGTCTAGTCCTGTTTTCGAATTTGTTTGATTTCTGCTATTATCGGTATCGGTTTGCTAACCAGTTTGACTTCTTTTTATTTCCTCTTCGTTTATCCAGCGTTTGTCAACTTAATGTATGAGAAATGCGAAATTTTGTTACCGTAGCCATCATACTCTTATCACTGATTTTCAGATTTTGAAACAGAAGTTTCTTCTTAGGAATTTCTGTTTCTACTCTCTGCGCTGTGCTAGTACGCCCTACCAAGCAAAGGTTTGGCGTACGTACACACACTGATTTGTGATTCGTTTCACTACGAAACTCTATACTGCTCCTGATATGGTGAGTTCAGTTTGCTTGATGCATTAGCTTTTTTCGAGTTTTCCTTAGCGGTCTGAAGAGTTTCGGTTTCGACGAATTCACTCAGTTGGCTGAAACTAGTTTGCTGCTACAGTATCTAACCTGTTCCTCATGTTGTCATTGAGATTTACTCTTCGGCTTTCACTCAGTTTCTTTTTCTAGCTAAGTTTGCTTCTGATTTTGCCCTTATCTACTAGGCCGAAACTAAAATATTTCACCTTGCTATTCAACTATTACCTCCAATTTGATTTTTGTTGGAAATGTTCCAATTTCCTTAGCAGTTGCAATATTCTCGGCATGACTGGATGTAACACAATTATTGATTCTAAGTGATCATTCCAGAGCCGGTTTATTTTTCGTTGCTAGTCAGCTCGCTTTTTCATATTCGAAAGAGATCGTATGAGTTTATGAATTTCTCAAAGGTCTTGTCTTTCAGAGCGTGGTCGAAGGGGTTTACGCTAACCATGCACTACTGACAATCATAAATGATTTGGTGGTGAGCTGCTTCGTTAGCCCTGTCTATCCAATTTTTCCTTCCTTTTTTCCCTTTTTAGTGTTGTTTCATTTCAACAAGGTAAATCTTTTCAGGGTAAGGAAGTGTTGGTTGAAGCGGTTGACGGGGCAAAGTATTCGGGCATATTTTGTGCATGTTCCCCAGAGGTAAGCTTTTTGAATTCTGCCAACATTAATCAATTTGTGTTTACGTCTTCTCGATTTCATAAGAATCGCAGACGGTCTTCTGACAAACTTCTTTCTTATGTGTTCAGTGTAATGTTTCTTGAGATTGCTTTGAATGTTTACATCCTTCCACAATTGATTAGTGTCCTGAACACCTCGTCTTCGATGCTTATCTTTGATTTATGCTTTAGCATTTCGTATCCACTTGGGTTCCTCAACTCATCATTTTTGTTTCGTACGCTGATCATGGTTTCCGTGCTGTTTTTGGACTTTCTTGTTTCTTATGAAACTATATTTTCGAGGAATCAGACTCGCAAAAGCCTTTGTAGCAATCTGGAATCGCCATAAGCGCTTGTATACCCTTTTCCATGCGCTCATCAACGAGCTCGTATTTCGCACTTACTGACGAGTATTCATTTTGAACTAGGTTCATTTTCATAGTTCTGTCTGCAAGAAAATGGTTACTGTTGATGCTAAATGTATCTTCGTCACAAAATTCACTATTTTGAAAATTTTAAAAATGCAAAAGATAATACTTTTGATGCTAGCTTTCCTCGCTTTTTCTATGACCTACGCTTTCTCGGCTATCCTTTTTGGCCCTATTTTTTGGCTCTCTCAGTCTGTCTGCGAATACTTCAATGTGCCGATGCCTGCCTATGCACCGTCAACCACGTATTTTTAGTTCGACATTGGACTACGGCATGCATATAAAATAACCACGGGTAACAGTGAGAATCTGCTGCCAAAACGGGAGGATATGACTGCAAAAATGTTATTCAAGTTCAGTGATATTGTTGCCATGTCTGCACTTATGAACGAGGAGAAGGTCATTAGAGGTATGTTGGGTTTTGATGTCAGTCAAATTATTGCTTTGATCTTGTCCACCAATAGTGGTTGTTTTTGTTGAACTTGTGTTTGGAGGAGGAAGCTCTTGAACTTGTAGAAAGACAGGGAAAAGAATGTTGTCTAGGATTTTGTGTATTCCTATACTGCATAGCCTTGTAAATTACATTTTTTACCAAATTCTGTAACTCAACACGTTCTAAAATAGTTGGGCCAACTAACTGGGGAAGTAGGAAAATCGAGTCTGAAGTTAGCGAGGGAGTAATCAGTTCCGCTAGCCTAACCTAGCAGATCTTATGGCAAATGCGCAGCACTAGGGGCGACAAAATTCGAATTTTCAAGTCTAAGGTTTCTTACTTGCAGAACAGCAATAAGTATTGATTGTTTATGTGATAGGATTGCAAGGTTATAATACTCAATTTTCCCATGAGGTTCTCTGCGTACGTTTTATTTTCTTCTTTTTTTTTTTATAGTAAACATCTTTAATGCGGCCATTTGCGTCTGAATATAAAATCTGGGAGCTAGTTGCGCATTTCGGGAATAAGGATGATTGTCAAGTCACAAGCCACAAATAAGTAGTGAAGATCCCCACTGAGACAAGAATCTTCTCTTAGTTCATCTCATCTTGCAATGCATTACGTCTGCAAATCGTTGGCACCCAATTGCAGGATCATATTTGACTTTCTCATGATTTCGAAACGCACTGTTCCTATTCTAGACATTGCATGTCATCTTCAACTTTTGTTGCATACTTAAAGAACATAGATTCAAGCGTCTGCAAATAATGGGAGAAGTAATGACGTGATTCGGACTATCAGATTCAGGATTTGCAACCGATCGAGACTACCACACAAAGCAGCAGAATGGAAGACTTGACGGCGAAGAGCATGAACTTCAAGAATGGAGCGCCGACGAAGACGGAGAAGAGATTGAGCCGCTAGATCAAATGGTATGAGCAGCTTGTTTTAGTTGCTGAAAATTCCTGCTAGAAAGCTGAAGTTTGGCAAAATTTTCCAAATCTTCTAAACTTGTTTGCGAATGCATTTGTGACCGAAAAATTCTCAATGTGTTTTCAGCCAGATCAACGTCAGCGATATCAACGAAATAACGGATGGAATGTTGAAGAGATGTTTAGCACAAATTCACAAATGGGAGTACAGTCGACATATGAAGAGGATTTGCGTCAGTATACAACGTGAGTCATTAGTCTTATTCCTGTTAGCGGCTATAGCATCCTTTTTTCTGAATCTCAGTCAGTTTTAATGACATTTAGTAGGTCACTTTACTTTTTCAATTGTAGAATATTGAAGATTTTTTCTGTCCCCATACTTCTCTCCCTATTTGTTTGGTGATTTAGTGCCCCAGTAGAAGGTAGTGAAGAAGATCGCCGTCGAGCTGATCAGATTGCAAGAGAAATTGAGAATAGCCAGCAGAGCAAGTTTGCCGCTCGCTTAGAAAATGATGATGATGAGCGCGATCTCGATAAAGCGACTACTGAGGACGATTTTGAGCTTCAGAGCAAGCGCGGTGGTGGAGCAGGAGGACGGTATGTAAATTCATTTTTATCTTCAATTTCTGTTCTCAACTAGAGTTCGTAACTTGTAGCGGTAACTTTACTAATCGCAATCAACGTAATGGTGCAAATGGGCCGCCGTTAGGGAATCGTCGTGCTGACGCGCTCAAAGGCGGACAAGATCGTAAGCTTTTTTTCTTTATGATCGAGCGTGAAAATCAGTGAATTTTCTGTTCTTTTTGGATAACTCTTTTCTTTCAAGGGAGAGGAGGTGGTACTCCAGGCAGATATCCGACTCAGCAGCATAATGCCAACACACCACAAAATAGGGGAATGCCAGGCAACAAATATGAACAGAGACCACGTCCTACTGGTCAAGAACTGCAAGACGGTTTCAATGGTCGGTGAAATTCTATTTTATGTTCGAAATCTACAATCTGGTTCCGAATTCCTTTTTTCAGAATTCTCTTTGAAAGAAGGTAACTCTCGCAGAGATCCATCCCAAGGACAAACCACTAGAACATATGAAAATAAGAATCAGAGTCAGTCGAACAAAAGTCAGCAGTGTTTGATCTCTGTTGTACTACGATAAATCGATTTCTAATTTAATGTGTTCTAGTTTTACTTGAACCACGATCGAGTGCTTCACCTCGAGGTGCCCCAACGGATCCGAAATCCCAACCTGGTGGTGAGCTTTACTAATTCCGCATACTTTCGTAGTCATTGTGCTCACTTTTTACGATGAGTAATGCACATGTACACCATATTGTTCCGAAAAACATTTTGCAATCAACGGAGAATGTCATGCATTTAGCAGCCGCTAGACGTGCAGATGGTTTGCGTGGATGGAATCAAGAATTCAACAATAACTACCGCCCAGAGGGCAAAGTCAGTTTATTTGCTTTCGCTGTTTTGCTTTTGGAACATCTACCTATCGTTATATATCTCTTTTGCATGTAAGCATGATAATCAATTGTTCATGAACGTCGTTTAGCTAGAGATCAAACATAGGACATTACACGTGGCCTTTAATATCATCTCAGTCACTGCTTTTGATGCAAAAGTCGAAATTGTCTGCATTTTGATAATAGTCAAAGAACTGCAAATCTTTTGTTAGCAATGAGATGGTTTCTGGCTTTTCTCTGATGCGAAGGTCTACTGTTCGAAGTCCACAACGGCAACCTTCCCATAATCTCGGCGCCATTTCTTTAAACTTCTGACCCGTTTCTTCATATATACATTATTGCATTCAGCTCAATGTATAAAGAGATTTGCCATCTTCATAATCCCGTTTTTCTTCGCGGTCTTTGTCTGTGTAGGTGGGAAGATAATGAATCGCGACTCCATTTTTATAGCCACGAAATACCAATACACTGATAACTTTATATTCAGATTGGTGTTTACATGTCTATCTCTGTTTTCAGTTTTTTTTCGTTCATTAACGCGCTTTTGACTGCATCACACAAATTACGCAAAACTGCGGAAAACTGACAAATCTTCATATTTTGAGTGTTATCACCAAATTATTGGCGTTTGAGTACCAGGAAAAGTTTCCAAACAGTGTTAGACTATTGTTACATGCTAGACATGCGTGTAGAGAGTGCGGAGAAGTGCTGCGACCTTTGCTTTTTACGAATGCCTGAATCGATTGATTGAATGCAGACTCGGTTTCCTCTCGCATTATACGTCGTTGCTCAGTATTTTGCTGCGCAAATTTTTCTGCGTAACAGTTTTGTTTGCTAAGATGTCAGTTCTTTGCAAGGTAGTCGTTCATAACATCCTAAAACTTTATCGGTTTCTGCATTGATCAAGACTGCAGCTGTATGTCTCACTACATCATTATAGGTGGACACTCCTCGAGAATCTCCGGCACGACCCGTGCTAGCCGCACCTTCCGGTAACGCATGGGCGCGTGGTCCGCCGACAAGTGTCACAAATGCACATAATTCTTCACAAAGAGGTTAGTAATTCACGCTTGTCGTAACTTCTAATATAGCTTGTACTGTACTAAATTGGTGCTGCAAAAACAAAGACTTCGATGACGTGTATTAGCAAATTTGCAGCCACGCCCACACCAGCATCACCCCCTCATGCCGTGGAAACCAGTCCACAGGACCCCATGCCAAGTTCTACCAATGATCAGGTATGGCTAATAGTCAGTTTTGTTCTCTCATGTAATGAAGCTTGGCAATTATGTTTTGAATTATTTTTCTTGTATCTTGTATCGATCTGTAAAAGTACAGTTTGCATCATGCGTTATCGAGCACACTGTGATGATTTTGGGTTTTGTAATTGTTTTTTTTGTTGTAATTTCTCTACTTTTGCAGCAGGTTGAAGCCGCGGCAACCACCTCATCTCCTCGTACCGATGGCAGTTCTCCGGCTACTGCATCAGCGCCAGCGCCAAGCACACAAACGACCTCACACGAAGCCACACCAGATTCGACAGCGACAAGTGCGACTACCGAGAAAGAAGAGGGGTACGTTGGCTGCATTTTTTTAACATGCAGAAACACTCTCAACAGTCACTCGTTGTAAATTGTTAAAGTGCTGAATTTTACTGCTATTCTTTCGCGTCGGCTCTGGTATACTGCTGCAATAACTGACTGCTATCTTTTGCTATAAGGTTTTTACTCGTGGATAGTATGCATGGATAGTATGCAAGAACTTATATTAGTTCTGTTCAACAAAATGGGTTTAATGACATCATTGTGGATAGTTCTTGTTAGGCATGAACGATTGCTTTGCGCTGCATGTTTTTGGAGAAGAAGCTTCTAATTCGTGCTTGTCTTTCATGACATCAGATATGTTGCCATTTCTGGTAACACATGTGATTTGACGTCAATTATTGGATTACCCGCAACTCTTAGTACGTTTTTTTTAGAACAAAGAAATTCACCTTCAACGTCAATGCACCTGCCTTCAAACCACGTAGTGCTCAAACACAAATTCAAGCTCAACAAGTTGGTCCCCCTCCGGGTGGACCACCACAGGCCATGATGGGCGCAGTCCCTATGGTGCCTGCAGGAGTACCCATTCAGGTCAGTCATTATTAGTTTTGGTATCATACTTTCGATAGCTTTCATAAAGAATGTATGCAAGAAATGAGTCAAGTGGAAAGGCCTTTAGAATTTATAAGAATGACTATTGATTTTAGACTGCCATGCCACCCCCTGGAATGCTTCCTACGATGCAAACTGGTCAGCCCCCAGTGTTAGTCCAGTGGCAAGGAGCTCCTGGACAGCAAGCAACGTATCAGGTTAGAAAAAAAATTTTGTCGTTATAGAGCCCGCTTTGGCTGTTATTGAGGTTTGAGTTTAGATGCCTGGTTATCAATATGTGGTCACTGGCGGACAGCCCGTAAGTATGATGCCCAGTCAACCAATGACAATGGGCGGGCCGCGACCGGGTGGCCCTCCAGCAGTTGCATTTCAGGGGAGTCGACGGCAAGGTAGGAAGAATTTGTGGGGAAGATATGATTATAGAAATTTGCATTTTTCAGTCATGGTTCCTCATACAGCAGCTCAATGGCAACCTCATGTGATGCAAGTTGGCCAGGGCATGGTGTGTGTTTAGTTGCTAAACAAATCACCATAGACCGTTATTCAAGAGTTTAGACGTACCTTCAGGTCCCGTACGCCTACCAGTCGTTCTCCGTACAAGCCGGTGCATCCGGCGGTGGAAGTGCTGGTGTCGTACCGCCACCACCACCCCAAGGTGGCTTTGCTGGTCCACAAGCTCCACCTCCGCAAATGATGCCCGGCACTCCACAAGCGGGTGCGCCGCCACCGGGTATCTATCCACAACGATTTGTTCCCGCCCAGGTAGATTTTTATCGGCATGTTATAGTGAACACCGCTGCATTATTGTTTCCAGGGTTATGTACTGCCGCAAGCAGGAGTTCAAGGACAAACTCGGTTTCCGACGCCGCAGCAAACGCCGCATCAGGGGATGGAGGCAGCACATTTCCAAAGTTAGTTCGAGAACATTCTATACTAAACCTGTTGTTGGCTTCGCTTTCTGACAAAATGGATCGATCTTCTACATCACCTCGAAGCGATCCAGGCTTCGAGACTAATATAGGGCTAAAAGTTGTGGATCTGCCCTATAGAGGTAGAAATGCTCAGATTTTGGGAGAGTGCATAGAAACGGCAATGAACGAGAAAAGGATGAGGAGAAGAAGAAGAAGTCAGAACATTTTGCAGATTTGATATATTTGCTGCTGTTTTTCTAAACATCGCTCAGTACTTGATACTTTCTGAGCCGAAATAAGTGTTATTATATGTATTATCATACCAGAAATACCAGAAAATTACCAGAAACCAGAAATACCTATTACCAGAAATACGATAGAAGCCGTATACTATATATTTCAGGTCAAGGAGCTCCCGGCTCAGCTGCAGCTTCCACTGGACCGAATAGCCAACCTCCCACTCCGGGCCCATCACCGGCGCAGGTACTAGTGTCTCTGTTGTTTCTTTTTTGATGTGGTGTGCATGAAATGGTCCCATTTTTATACGTTGTGCAGTGCTAGTTAAACTTGACGGTAAACAAAACGTTTTTTTCCGAAATTTGAAATCTGGCGTTCCATTAGTGGGTAACTTTCGCAATCATTCTCTTCAAGTTGTATGGTAATGTACACTATACGCATGAAACGCACTATTGCGCTGTTCACTTCGCCATTTTGCCCAAACTGAACTATCTCATTTCATGTCACGTCCGCATGCATCTTCCGTGGTAGTAATAGCACTCAGAATGGAAATGCGGGCATACTTTTGTGACACACACACAAAAACGCCTGAGTGGTTCCTAGGTTGCGTCCAAATTTTTCTGTGTGCGTTTTTCTGTGCCGAAGGGGCCGCTACGCCGCCTGTAAAAATGAAAGAAAGCTGATATCATGCGGCATGCGGTGCAGCGCGGCGTCCTTCTTCGGTCACTGATGCACATGGGCATGGACGCAGCTGTCGTTGCCTCCTGTGCGCTACTACGCAGTGCTATGAGTAGCGTCTTTGTCGATTACATGTGTAAATGTTGTGTGGTCATAGGGTCGCGGTGGCTCTCCTGGCGGTCAACAAGCTATGCAACAGTCCGTTGGTCCACCGCCACCACAACAGTTCATGGCACCAGCCTCTGCGGCTCCACCTCCACATTTCTATGCAGCACAACCGGTATGTTTCCCACTGGTAGCTGAGCATGTGAGCATGCTATAGTGACGCACCTGCTTGTTGTTTGCATGTTTGTATTAAAAGAAATTTGGAGAACTTAGGGGGTTTGGGGAAAAGTGTCATCCATAGGGATATTTTTAAAAACTTTTAGGTGTATGGTATGTACTCTGCGCCTACTGGTCAAGGAATGGTAGTATACGGTGGCCCAGGCGGTGTGCCGATGACCATGCCACCCACACATCATGACCCTACTATGATGCAACAACCGCATCCGCAACAAACACAGCAACAACAACAAGCTGGTGGTGTACCACCGCCGCCACATCAACAGTACACCATGCCACATGAGGGTTATGGTAGTTTTGTGCAAGGTAAGCTTTGCTGTATTTCAATTTACCCTTCAATACATCAGTAAAATATTGGAAGTGTATGCAACACATTATCAAGTTATAGATAAGTAGATCGCCTCAAACCACCGTCCATTCAAAGTAGCGGTGGTGAAATTTTATGCGGTACAATTAAAGGGGCTCTTTATAAGTGACCCACCAACTTGCTGCTAAGGATGTACTTGCTTCAAAATGTGGAAGCTGCGCTGGTGGCTTCGTCTACAATATGAGTGGCTCAAGAAAATGAGTCTGAAAGTGGACTTCGTTTTGGAAAGAAATGCTGAAAATTTGACGATCAAGATGAAAGCGAATTGACACTATTGGATACAGTAAAGCCCAATTTTGGACTTGTTAATCTAAGATCGACCATGTTGAGGCGACCAACAACGTCGCTCTGCCTTCTGGAGCGATTCTCTTTGAAAACTATCTTTTGCAGCGAGAACTGGGCGATTACTTGATTAGGGGCCATGGTTTACTTACCGCATCAATGTCTCACCAGCTTCAGTTCAAGTGGGCAGTGCCTTTGAATAACTCAGAATGAAACGTTTATGAGACATGCTGATCACAGAAATGACGTTGATTTTACATGATAGTGCCTCTTCTCTGGGATAATAACGATAAGTATACGACAGGGTCAAGACCGCAAATTATTGTTGGTTTGCCGATTACGAAGAGCGTTTCATAATATGGTTAGAGGTATGGAGAGTAGCAGTGGGGCTTTACTTCATCGACTAGATGTGGTAATCTTAATCAGCATTTCCCTCTAAGGTTATAGCGCTCCCTGTAAGGTTATAGTGTTTGTGTGAATCTTGACCTCAAATTTTATACTTACCAAAACTCGAGAAGAGACGTCACGGAATTATTATCACTTTCACGATTAGAATATCAAATGACCCTCCAGGCAAGTGACAGCAAAATCCGAGATTATGAAAATTGGGTTATCTAAAAAAGAGAGCGCTTCTTTCACTATTTTTCTGCTCCTTTGGCCTATAAACCTCTATGCATCTTACAAGGGAAGGATACTTGGTCGAAGTGGCGTATATGAAATGTATGCTATCTTGTAGAGCATGAAACGCTGATTCCAAATCTGCATTCTTTATCCGCAAAGCGCTTTTGTAGGGAGGTTCTGGAAATTTTGAGGTAAAAGTTTAATGATTGCTAAGGTAGAAACACGTGTTGAGATCTTTTCGGCGCTTGAAAGGAGTAATAACTGACATGTGTCTATTAGACTAAAAGTATTTATCGTACAAAACGCCCTGGTAGAATCACGACCACATCTGAGCTCACGAACCAAAGTTCTGAATGATTTTATTGCAGCGGCGCTCTCAGATTTTTACAATCAAAATTTCCAACTTCCTTCCCAAAAGAACTTCGCAGATACAGAAAGCAGATTTGAAACCAGCTTTCCATGCGCTATAAGATTAGTTTATTTTTTTATATGGGGACGCCACTTCGATCAAGTATCCTTCCCTTGTTAGATCACTTGTTGTTAAATGAATATTGTACGAACATGGTGTATTTAGCCGCTCCCTTCTATCAACAACCACCGCCGAATCAGATGTCTAGACAAAATTCAGCACCACAATCTATGTATCAACAGCAAGGGCCCGGTGAGATTTTTTGATTCAGTAGGCACTTCAGTGCCTCATGCTAATTCTCATATTTGAGGCGGTCCCCCACCGCAACAACAGCAGCAAGCACCTCCCAATCCGCCTTCGACCGCGCCTCCCCAGCAGCAGTAATACCGGTCTTAGTTAATTTATTAAATTTTTAAAGTGGTTTTTGAAATTGGTATGATTTTTTTCATTTCATCTGATCATTATTGAAAAATAGGGACCATCTTTGGTTCTCTTTACATCCAAGCATCTATCCTGTATATCCTTGCTCATCATTATGATGAGTAAGTTAATAATTATGTCTGTTATAGACGTTTCGGTAGTGGTTGATCTCGTCAGTATCATTTTCTTCTTTTTCTCCTTATCATTTCATTTTTCAGATTTCGCTCATTTTTCTTTTTCTTTGTAATTTGTGTGTTGATGATGATTTCCAAATTATCTCTATATCTGTTTTTTTTTTGTATGTGTGTGTGTGTGTTCATCCCCTCTTCTATATATCATTTTCTTCTCAGCTTTGTTTAATCATTCTTTTATCTCTCGCGTTGTGTTTCTGTTGACAGTAGGATAAGGTTGGCGTGAAACAAAAGTCCGCACGCCGACTTCCCCCCTCCTCTCCCTCATTCTGTTGTTGTTGTTTCTCCGTGCCTTGTTAGTTGATTGCGATTTATCATTTTATTATCGTTATTACTGCTGCGGAGTCTCGGTCAAATCTGACGCTCGCATGCTACCGTTGTGAGGTCAGTTCCTTTATTTTTTCTTGTTTTGCTAACACCCATCTTTTCCTTTCAGGTTTGTGCTTGCTCAATCGCCGGCGACTTGCAATCACTTTCGTTCTTTTCTTCTTTTTCGTCGACCTGTGCTCCTCTCAATTCTTTATGTTTTAACATATTCATATTGGATGTCATGCATCCCCAGAGTTTTATGCAAAATTGATTATGACAATAAGCCCATCACTAAAAAAAAGATCCATGTCATCCTAGTTTTCAGCAATTTGTTCGTTCGCCGAAAAAAAATCAGTTTCGATGATGTTCATTAGAAAAATAAAAAATGGGCTGAGCATGTGTTACATGGCAATAGCGGCTCATCATTTGAGCTCACCTGTGGTAAACATACACCATCATACACCATAGGATTTAGCTGGTGCGTATGTGTCCACATCTAATGGACATGGTCGTAAATCATCAGACCTCGAGGCACAGCATAAATAACCGTTTATGAGGGGGAAACAAGACAAAACCATCAATGATATATACCTTCGCAGCAATTACCGCTCCACATAAGTAGTTTATTCTTTCGATGCTGACCAATCCCTTTGATGTATCATCAGCGGTTCAACACGTAAGCATTTGCATATGGATCATAATTTTGAGAATTCTTGGAATGTCTAAAAAATCGTATTGCATACTGCGAATGAAATATTGAAGACAGCATCAACGAGAACTTGTCACGATACACATAAAGCGGATTTGAACATGCATTCAAGCCAATTTTTTGCATAACAAACGGCACTGACATTTATTCTCAGCATGCGCACAGACTAGCGGATCCGATGCGTAGCCCCTTTGAAGGCGGCAAAGTTTGGTCCTTAATCGGACTTCCGAGATGTTACGAGTTAGCGGCTTGAACCTGCAAGAGCCTCAACTCTGAAAGTAGTCAAAAAGTGAAATTTTATGAAAAGGCGGCGCCGAGAAGGGATAGTTGACAAACCCCAAGTTTCCAAGGTTTTACTTACAGATGTAGATAACTGCTCTATGATGATGAAAGGTGCATTAATTGATGTTCCTATGGAAGTTATTAAGCCGTGAGTAATAATACAGTGACTAGTATGGAGTTGCTATTGCTATTCTGACAAGAAACTTTAGGCTTCACATCCGCTAATAACGATCCTACTTGAAAAAGTTTTCAGAACAAGTAGCTGTTTGCAACTCATTCATGACGGTGAGCAATTTCTAATGCGTTCGTTTTTCCAGTATGCGAGCAGAAGGAAGGCACACACATAGTGAAGCTACTGCCTCTGTGAAACAGAGGTTGCTTACTGCAAAATGGCATAAAAGAGATCTTCTCATTACCAAAAGTAAGTCAGACATGTGAAAATCCTATTTATTTATTGCAAGTTGGTAGCATCAAGTTTGCTAACGCAAGTACGCTTCATTTTGACTTCATCATGCAGACAGTGTGCTTTCTCGCAGTTCTTATTGTTACAACTAAAGGTACGCCTGCACGGCTCCTTTCAATGACTCAGATTTTTAAGAATTCCTCTTGCTGCCTCAATCTTTGCAGAAAATTCTAGTAGTCTCGTTCCTGACCTTGGGCTAAGGAGGGTTTGAAACCACCACACGACTTGCTTTTTATGTTTGAGATAGTGGCCTTCTCAAGCATTTTAAATTAAGGCTGGCAAAGCGCTCCTAACGAGACGCCATCAAGCTGATGGCCTGCAAAAGTGAGGACTTTCTTCTTTTGTAGACCGTTCACCAAGGACTTTGCTCCTACCTCTTCATAGCACCCGGTGACCTGGTCTCGGCTTGACCAAAAAAGCCGGAGTTATGGTAGGCGGCCCCTTCATTGCTGATGCCATGCACTCACCTTTTCATATTGATGAAAATAATCTCACAAGCATGGCCAGATCCCCCGCCTCTGGCCGTGAGTAAAAAGACGGTCCCCATTCCCATGCCAGGTATAGTTGACTGAAAATGAACCCACCGGGCTGAGCGCCCGCATGCCTCTTGCGGGCTAACATTTTGGCATTCGCGCGCTAGCGCTCGTACTCGGCAGTCGCGTTGTAGGCACGCTCGCGTGCGTTCAGCCTACAGCGACCCGGGCGATTTCGTGCAGTCAACTTTAGCCGATCCTGATGTCAGGGGCAAGAACACGACTTAGGGCTTTAATATCCCCGCTGAGGAAAGGAACGCAGCTTGCGGGGAGAGGACACTTGGCGGCCTGGCCTTTCGATATGTACATATGTCATGACCAGGGTCAAGCAAGGGGTGTGGCACACGATCGCTGGTTACGACCCCCCCCCCCCCTGATTGCTGTCTTAATAAGACCCCCCTCCCCTGAACTATATACCTAAGATAGCATTACTAGAGTTGAGAAAGAGGTCAGGCACAAGTCTTTCGAAACCCCTCCCCCTCCCATGAAAGCCCTCAAACGACCCCTTCTTCCTCCTCTTAACCTCTGGACCTCAAAGTGTGATATTCTGGAGGACACCATCTTTTTCTAGAGAGTTTTCAGATTTCTGAGAGCTCTACGCCCGATTTTCTGAGACTGCACTTTACAATCACACGTAATTTGACGGCTGATTTTGATCTGAATGGGCATATTGAAAGGGCCATAATTTTCTTATGGGTGGGGCGTTCCGCTCCAAATTTGCAATGTGGCAATAAGAAGCTATGTGCTCAATATTCATACCAGCATTGGAGCGCTTTCTGGATTTTGAAGGCAAGTTAAGGGGGTGTGCCGCACCCATTAACTATATCCAAAAGACATTTTTAGCGGACAGTAGTTATATGAATCGACTAGCCGGCGATCCCGGTTTCACTCGGGACTCCAGTTTAGCTAAAAAGAAGTTACTTATACTTATGCTTTTAAGCTTATTCTGCGCAAAAAGGCTGAAACGAATTACCCGCTTTTCCCGACATTGAGATTAAAATGAGCTTTACCATCCCCTGACTACCTACATGATCATAGCAAAATGATTGGTTTGAGCATGTCAAGCCTCATTTTCCCAGATGTAAGTAAACAAATCAACAAATCAATAGAAGGGTCTAGTAAATCGCCGCGAAAAGTAGCCTATGTTCCGCGCCGGGGTCCAAAACATAAGCGTGCAAAGTTTTAACTCATTTGGTCCACTCAGAAAGATTTGTATAAAAAACATACTTATTAACAGACAAACACACTTTGAGTTTTATATATATAGAGATAGCCTAAACCTTGTAGATTCCATAGGACTGTTTGGAGCCTGATTTGTCTTCTTAGCTCTAACAATAAGTAATATTTGGTGAAAGCACAGCGATCAAAAGCGAAAAATGGGAAAAACGAGATTTTGGTTGGCTTCTAATTCCACAGTTTGCAGGTCTTCTGAAGCGGGATTTCTGAGGTGGACAAAGAAGGAGTAGTGCTTTGTCTTGAGTGCAAAACGGATAGCTAATTCACCTTTGAAACAAAGTTAACCATGTTGGAATTTGACCATTTCATTTAGGTAGCCTAGTATCTTGAATCTTCAGAATTCGCTCACACTTTGTCTACAGGGGTTAATTGACATGCTAATTAAGGATATGATACGGATATCATGTTATCACTATCATCAGATTACACAACTACGACCCCCTCCCCTTTTGACTCCTCAATACGACCCCCGGGTGTGGCGTGCCGCACCCCACGCTTGACCCTGCAAGGCGAATGTCATGAGTCATGCCATTCGCCTTGCAACGTTGATCTCATAAGCATACTCGTTATCTGAGAATAATATTTCGGAAAAACCCTATTTCCCCTCATCTGACGTGTTAGCCCAAGAGTACGAAAAATTTCGATAGGTGCTGAAGGTCTCGAGTGGTGTAGTGGTTAGCGCTGTCGACTCTTGAACAATGGATTATGATCTCGGTCGGCGCAAACACTTTTGCGTCAGCGCTTTTACAGGCGCTAATTCTTCTCAGAAAAGCGTTCTGCAGCTGAAGCAAATATTTCGAGATCAGCTTTACAAGGCAAGCATTTTGATGTATAACATAGTCTAAAAGGCCATGGTCACCAGTTCCCTTGTCAGAAGAAAGCTTCATATTCGGAAGCTCTCAAAGTCTGAATTTTTGCGCTATCTGCAATTGTTTCTGCTACCTTTTACTATGAACAGATTTAACAGGCGCAAGAAGCTTCTCATGCCGCATTATCCAGCTTTTTGTGCGATCCCCGGATAATCTCCGGCGGCCGGCCGTCCTTTTTACAGAATCATTTTCTTTCTTCAAAATTGATGAGAACATTCCAAAGTCGTACTGATTACCTAGCCCATCAGTGCCAAGCATGTTTCTGATAAGAACAAATGATTGTAAAACCAGTGAGATTTTGATGAACCCCAACTTTGTGTTCATCGCAATTTTCATGAATTCGATACATCATCTGTTTCTATCAACATGCTTAGCACTGTTAGGTTAGGTAATAGGTGCAGCTAGGGAATGTTCTCTTCAACTATGAAAAAAGAAAAATAACTATGAAGACAAGACGGTTGGCCGCCGGGAATCATCAGGATGCGTCCCCCTACCCAGCGGGGATGTTTATGCATGCGGCCCTCGTACGTCTGCTCTTCTCGGAAATATCCACTTACTTGATCAAAGATTGAGAGAAAACTTTGTACATTGAATTCCACTTGAGAACAGTGGCTCGACAAAACTGAACTGTCTGTGATTTTGGTATACTGGGCTGCTCATCCTCCAACTATTAAAACAGAGTAAGTCCTGTCGCACAGCATGCCTTCCTTGCCGATGAAGTTGTCTTCAGACCGGTTGCTCAAGCCGCGAACTTGTTCGCACTCGGACGAAGCTGATTCCCTGTCACCGACCGAGGCGCATCCTGATGGTATAAACACAAAGGTCCTGACGACCCTGCATCTCCAACTTTCCACTCATTCAAATAAAAAGTCAAGGGATCTTGGGAAATGCTCGCCATTCTCGCGTACCTACCAATTCAAAATTTAAGATGTTCAGTTTTGCCAAGCTATTGTCAAGGACACTGCATAAAGCCCAACTCCAAGAACAAGCTTGATTTCGCGAGATTCAGTTGCACGGGGCACAATCAAGCGGTTTCGAGGGTCGCAGACTACCAATGCCGCTGCCTCTCGTCCTAATATCGTGCATCCTCCAGAATCGTTCCCATAGGTACTATCAGCGTGGCTGCTATTCGAACATTGTCACATGTCAAGCTCGAATAAACGCCTTGATGCTGGAATTAACGTGTTAAAACGACTGAAAGGCAGCCACGTTGATGGTATCTATGGGAACAATTCTGAGAAATGCACAGTGACTAGACTTAGCTTAGTCGAATAAGGAGTGACTCCGTTTGTTGTGAGGACAT